GGGGAGGCGGGGCGGGTGGGGGGGGGGGGGAAATAAACTAAACTCAACTAACTAGACTAACAAACTAAACTTTGTTTAGTAGAGTAATTAAACAATCAAGACCTTAAGAAACAACACAACTACTAGAGATGCAACAAAAATAGAAATAGTCGGCTATGTTGACGAGTGCTGGTGTGAGGCGGTTATGAGATTTGAACGACTAGTTTAAACAAGTACAAAGACATTTTATCGCTCATACCCAGCAACACTGGGTTTCTCATTCATCTCAAATTTTTCTCATTTATGTGAACGTTAAAGGCAACATCAATGGGTACATTCGGTTTTATTATTTTGCAAACATATGGGAATGTTACTTAGATGTTCTCCAACACATTTGAGATGAATTCTGAATTAAAATGTTTCAGAAATAGCTTCCAAAACTCAAGTATAAATAATGTTTTTGTGCTGACATTTTGAGAACATTATTAAAGACCAAACAACTTTGAATGAATGTTCTATCAACATCACTGGAGAACCTTGCCAGAACATTCTAAGAATATTCCCTATTAGCTGGGCAACTTCTGGAGGGAAACAGCGCAGCCAATGGACAGCACAGTCATCAATGCTATCAAATGGAGTACACTTTGAAAGTCTAATTTAATTTTAGTGTGTGTGTGTGTGTGTGTGTATATATATATATATATAGACTATAGTTTAGCTGCTTTAATTTATGGATGGCTAGTTTACAGTTTCCAAGTAGCTTCCCGAAAAGTGTAAAGGACTAGCATTTTATTTTTGCATAATGACAGAAAACATCCTCCCACCTATATGGCTATATGTTGTAAACAGTGAAGTTCAATGAAATATATTTTAAAATAGACAATATATTCATATACCAAAATATATTTCAAACTGTATCAGAGGCAAGAAAATACATACAAATATAGGCTAAAAACAAGAAAATACAGGCTAAATGCAAATGTGGATAGTCTATTAGAGATCAAAACTAGATTTATAATGATTTAATAATGTTTTTATTTTATTGTATATATTTATATGTATATATTATATAAAAATATTTTTGTAACATTGTAAAGTATATGTTTCTTGCTGAATTGTACTCGAATATATTATATGTATATTCACACGTTAGACAACAAATTTTGCTTCAAATGTGACGTTAATGCATTTTCTTGGACAGAAATATATAGAAGAAAATATTTTTTAAATGCTTTAAAAATGTTTATATTTTTAAAATACATTTTCAAAAATATACAATAAAAACATATTTACATAAATATATTTTGAACTATATTTTAGCAAACACATGTTTTGTTTTTGTATTTTGAAAAATATTTTTAAAAAATATATTTTTGCTGTATGAGCATGACTAGCTTTTCATTGAACAGCATGGTTTTAATCAAAAGAGTAAAGACACCTTCTAGTAAAATTATTACCATTTTATTAATGAAAACAATTATTTAAAACTATTTTCATCAGCTTTAAACAGCAGGGACTATACTGACCTTGATGTAAGCTAGCTAGATTGGGCTATCAGCACAAAGACTCATGGTCAGCTTTGTTATGGCTCCAGTTTTGCGTAGCAACAACCACGTTGCACGGAGAAGGACGTTTCGCGTCAAGAAACCCAAACAATGATACTGCTGACTCCATTACAGAGAAAAATATAAGGGTCAAATTCAATTCAATGTAGAATTCAGTGCCAGAACAAATTGGGCTAAATGCTAATGACAGGATATTTCTGATTAACGGTTGACAGATACAGGGTTTTTAATGGCTGACCTTACACAAGAAAACAGTGTAACTTAAGGTGGTTAGCTGATCTCCAAGCCTGACAAAGCTGGTTAGGCAGGACTGTTTTGACCAGATAAACCGGATAAGACCAGTAAACCACCGTAGGCTGGTAATAAATCACAAACATAAAACACAAAATAATATTTGAAAAGAGAAAAAAAGTGCATTATCCATGGACAAGTCTGGCAGTAGATTTTGAAATTGACAAAGGAAAGTTCCAGCACACTCTCATGGCAATTCATAACTACTTTACATTTTGGTGAATTTTTATGAATTAGTACAATCTCATTCATATGTTTTGTACACTGTTTAGGGGTGGACCTTCATTCTTGTTTTTTTTTTTTTTAAATCATACATTTTTGTACAACTTTAATAGTGTGCCTAAAGCCATATGATTGATAATGTAAAAAATAAGTGACGTGACATGTGGCCAAGTATGGTGACCCATACTCGGAATTAGTGCTCTGCATTTATCCCATCCAAAGTGCACACACACAGCAGTGAACACACACACACCGTGAACACACACCCGGAGCAGTGGGCAGCCATTTATGCTGCGGCGCCCGGGGAGCAGTTGGGGGTTCGGTGCCTTGCTCAAGGGCACCTCAGTCGTGGTATTGAAGGTGGGAGAGAGCGCTGTACATTCACTCCCCCCACCTACAATCCCTGCCGGTACGAGACTCGAACCCGCAACCTTTAGGTTACGAGTCCAACTCTCTAACCATTAGGCCACGACTTCCCCATAAGTTATAAAAATATTTATTTACTTATTTATAATAAACAAAGTATAAATAATTGTAATATATTTTAATATAATTTTAAAATGTATAAAATATTACATAATGAATAGAAAGAATATTTATACTTATCATATATTTAATCTAAAAACAATGGCATTTAACCAGACAAAACCTAGGTATTCAAAACATTAAATCCTACAAAATACTTTCTCGCACTCTAATTCTGCCTTCTGGCTTTGGCGATTCAGTCTCAAAATCAAACAATAAACCAAAAAAAGATCGACTATACCACGACTACACCAAGGAAATGCAATGATTCATGGGAAATGCCAGAAACGGCAATACTTCACAGAGAAGTGCAAACCTTGATCTTCAAAACAATACTAGCATCTCTGTTCCTTTTTGCATTCGTTTCAGCACAACATGCATCCGCAAATCATACCAGCCATTCAACGCTAGACCACATTTAAAGCCGTCATTTTGCAATTATTTCACCAGATCACTAAAATGCCAAGCACGTCTAAAAGCGTGCACTGTGCTGCTTTCATGAGAAGCAGAAAATATCAAAATATAGAAGCTGTCCGGAGGCTATCCCTGGTCATTGCACTTTAAACTCCCAAAATAATAGAGACACTGTTTCCCCTTTCAAAGCACAACAACATATTAAGGATTATTGTTTACCAGGGGGAGGATGAGTGAGCGAGAGAAAGAAGATGGGGTCATTTCTCTCTGCCCTCCATTTTATCTCCATTCAGATGGTCAAATAACAGCTAATACACTCGCCAACCATTTCACCACCGCACACTGATCACTGAAGGGTTTGTTTTCAGTGCTGTTAAAAAGCAATAACAATTTCTTTTTATAATACATTTTGTGCCAGTATGATTTTTAGAAGCCACTGTCCATAACATTGCCTGAATTTAACTTAAGACTTAAGATATTATGATTATTACTATTATTTTTTACATCGAACCAACAGTAGACGCAAATTCATCTGTTTGCAAAAAGTTTGAATAGGCTGATTTACACTTTACATGAAGAAGTATGAAGAATGTCGACATGAAACAGAGTTTGCTAAAACTTCATTACCTTTTTACTTTTGTAAGATTTCCGAACGTATCAAAATATTCATATTCATAACACACCTGGCTAAAACATAAGGGATAATTTACAGTCTGTTTGTCATTATCGCAAAATAAACCTCTGCATGCTAATCAGGACCCCAAGGCAAAACGGAGGTTTGTGTGATAATGAGCGGCTGATTGTAATGTACATTATCCAGCTTATTACTCACATAGAAAATAAATAAATGAACATGAAATATTGATTTGAGTTCAAATTATTTTAGTATGTAAGTGATATGAGTGAACTAGCACAGCCGCTATATGTAGGAAATCAATTGGCTGGAACGTCATTAGCACTCATTATACCGTACAATGCTGTAACCAATCAGAATAAAGTATTATTTTGTCTCACTTGTACACCCTTGGTTATATTAGCAGAAAAGCAAAGTCATGTCAGAGGCGGGGAAAGTTATGAAATTTTAATGAAAGACTATGAAAACACATTTTCGCGTCAATTGCGAACACTGGCGTTTATTTCATGTGGTCTTTAAATTTGCGACTGAACGTAATACCTCGCATGAATAACTCAGCAAAAAGGCCAAGTCAAATCATCTCTAAAAATGGAAGTGATGTTGAGGAACAGACAGTACCTGTGGATGGAGTGGAACTGCTCATGGTAGTAAAGCAACACGAGGAGGCGGAAACAGGAGGCTCTCCAGATGCCCACTGAAACACACGAATATGAAATTTTCAGTCAAAATGACAAGTGGGAATCTGAACAAATATGAGAAACCACCCATAACACACTAAAAAAACACCTATTATGCCAAATTTGGATGTAAATATTTTGAAATACCCAATTCAAAGCTGTAAAACCAACCATGATACACTGGAATACACTGGAATAAATTCAAATGTACTCCAAACAGAGTGCTTCACTCATTTATTCTTAAAACGAGGGAACGAATTAGTAAAACGTACAAACAATTAAGTAAAATGAGGGAACAAATTAGTAAATCGTACAAACAATTTAGTAAAACGAGGGAACGAATTAGTAAATCGTACAAACAATTTAGTAAAACGAGGAAACAAATTAGTAAATCGTACAAACAATTTAGTAAAACGAGGGAACGAATTAGTAAATCGTACAAACAATTTAGTAAAACGAGGAAACAAATTAGTAAATCGTACAAACAATTTAGTAAAACGAGGGAACGAATTAGTAAATCGTACAAACAATTTAGTAAAACGAGGAAACAAATTAGTAAATCGTACAAACAATTTAGTAAAACGAGGGAACGAATTAGTAAATCGTACAAACAATTTAGTAAACGAGGAAACGAATTAGTAAATCGTACACAAGATTTACTTTTTTTTTTCTTCCTGCATGTCATGTGCACAGCTCTGTAAGCTAACAATAACAGCACTAGTTAAATCAATGTAAGCAAACGATATCCCTCTATTAACTAATACCAAACTGCACAGTTGTAAACACCAAAGCTTCAGTGGTAAAACCAAAAGCACATAAGAAATTCTAAATCAGAAAAAAACAATATTATAAAATAATTAGTTCTGGTCCTCCAATTCGATGAACGAATTAGTAAAACGTACAAACAATTTAGTAAACCGAGGGAACGAATTAGTAAATCGTACAAACAATTTAGTAAACGAGGAAACGAATTAGTAAATCGTACACAAGATTTACTTTTTTTTTCTTCCTGCATGTCATGTGCACAGCTCTGTAAGCTAACAATAACAGCACTAGTTAAATCAATGTAAGCAAACGATATCCCTCTATTAACTAATACCAAACTGCACAGTTGTAAACACCAAAGCTTCAGTGGTAAAACCAAAAGCACATAAGAAATTCTAAATCAGAAAAAACAATATTATAAAATAATTAGTTCTGGTCCTCCAATTCGATTGGCTGAGCAGCATGTGGAGTTGTGGGATTTTTTTTGCTTGAACAAAGAGGGGGTTCGTTGAAAGTTTGCGAAAGATTGTTGAAAGAATATTTGCAGGATCACTCATTACTGGTTTCGCATCCCAGTGATTGGAATGAAAAATGGAAATCTTGGAGTGCTGCTGGAATGGACTGATTAAAAAAAACGCTCTGAGTGGAAATGTGAAACTGCTTTTGCGACGCTCACTGTTCTTTTTTTTTTTTTTTTTTTTCTTGTTTCTTTAAACTGATTACGGGTATTGTTTGGGTAACATTGTATGTCAAAATTATCAATTTTTCTTTTATGCCAAAAATCATTAGGATATTAAGTAAAGATCATGTTCCATGAAGATATTTCGTAAATTTCCTACCGTAAATATATCAAAACTTAATTTTTGATTAGTAATATGCATTGCTAAGAACTTCATTTGGACAACTTTAATTTGCGATTTTCTCAATATTTAGATTTTTTTGCACCCTCAGATTCCAGATTTTCAAATACTTGTATCTTAGCCAAACATTGTCCTATCCTAACAAACCATACATCAACGGAAAGCTTATTTATTCAGCTTTCAGATGTATAAATCTCAATTTCAAAAGATGAAACCTTATGACTGGTTTTGTGGTCCAGTGTCTCAAATGGTCAACACGTATTTGCAGGCCAAACCCCTCATGCATATAGGTAGAGAAAAAAGCCTATAACGTGCAGCCAAAGCAGACATTTGAGATCTACTGCCAATGTAAGCGAGATGAGGCAGTTTGTAGCTCTTATTAATAATGAGTTCATGCACAGGGTCATGCGTGATACACGCAGCAGGTCTGAATGCAGCACAGCGTTTGTGTTATTCAACTCAGCCAGGTGTTGTTGGGAGAGCTCGCTTCACAGGCGGAGCCACCTCTATGCCATCTCCCTATTGGCGCGTTACTGTCACCTCAGCCTACCAGGAAAGAAGACAAAGCTTATCTTTGCCTGGACTCAATTGAATTTAGTCTAAAAAAGCAGAGTATGAATATGCAAAAAAAAAAGGAACAAAAACGATAAGAATCTCTTTACCCTTTACAGCTAAGCCCCTCTCTGATGCCTGTGACATTTTGTGTGCTGAGATGGGCTGAGGGTGATGAAACACGACAGACGACACTGATGCTCAGCGCTCGCATCTTAATCGCCATTTCTCTGAACATGCCCTCTGAGGGTCAGGGCATGTCACACGGCCCCGCCCTCGCCAACTCCACCGTGCCATTTTCCCACTCCGCCATCGTTATAGTTGAGTGTCTTTAATTAGTCGAGGGCAGAAAGAGAGAGAGAGAGAGAGAGAGAGAGAGAGAGAGAGAGAGAGAGAGAGAGCGAGGTCTGATTGCAATTATATCCTTTCACTGGCATTCTCTCATCAGCCTCAAATTCTGTATGAAAACCGGAGATATACTCATTACAGAAACGGACGTTTTTGACTTCAATAATGTGCTCTCGAAATAACGAGTGCTTGGATTTTCGAAATATTTGATCATCAGATATTTTTAGAGATATGGTCATCACAGTATATACTTGACGTGATATAAATAGAGCTTCTTCATACGTCAAGGAAATATGCAAATATAGAAACTCAAAAGGATCTGTCCAGGTCACACTTCAGACAAAAATGAAATTAAAGACCTAATCAATTATATTTTGCATTGAGAAAATGAAGCCATTTTCAGCCCCATTAAGATCTGTCGCATTATTTCTTCCATTATTTTTATGACAATTAGTCATTTCCCTCCAGTTGTCATTACCGTAATGCAAAAAAACTTATTACTTTAATGTCATCTATGTCAGCCAGCTAGATCATTTTGTCTTGGTGATATATTTACATCAGAAGAATTCTCAAAGCAACAACATTCAATATGACACAGGAAACCAAATATTTTTGCTTTTTACTAGACATAAAAAATATACATCAATGTAAGGCATGCTAACTAAAACGATAACAACAACCATACATTTTTTATTATATGCTGAAATTTTGTGAATTACAAAAACCTCATCCACACTAGTGGCATAACAAAGGTACAGTGCATCAGCAAACATGAGATTCACGTAAGCTTTGTTCACACCAATCACAATAACGATAACTATACCTAAAAAAAATTTAATCGCTGTTATTCTGTGAAAATAATGCAAACCACAGCAGAGGCATAAAACGTACATTAGTGAATGTAAAACTAGTATGCAAGGTCACACCAAGGGCGATAACTATAACTATAACATTTTGTCCGTTTACACCAAGAACGATTACTGTAGGCCTTAACTTTTAATATTTGCTGTAATTCTATGAAAATAGTTAAATCCATGATAATAACACAGAGGAACAATAGTGTTGGAATTATTTTCAGATCATTTTTTTTTTTCAGCCAAATAACAATAAAAAAAATTACCAGGCAATCAGAATCAACCAGACTTTAAAGAGCTCGAGCACCCAAAGGGATAGTTCACACAAAAATGAAAATTATGTCATTAACTACTCAACACTCATGTCGTTCCAAACCCGTAAGACCTCCGTTCATCTTCGGAACACAAATTAAGATATTTTTGATGAAATCCGAGAGCTTTCTGATCCTCCCATAGACAGCAACACAACTGACACGTTCAAGACCCAGAAAGGTAGTAAAGACATCATTAAAATAGTCCATGTGACATCAGTGTTTCAACCTGAATTTTATGAAGCTACGAGAATACTTTTTGTGCGTAAAGAAAACAAAAATAACAACTTAATTCAACAATTCTTCTCTTCTGTAAGCCACTGATGTCACATGGACTATTTTAGTGATGTTCTTACTACGTTTCTGGGCCTTCGGATTTCAACAAAAATATCTTGATTTGTGTTCCGAAGATGAACAAAGGTCTTAAAAGGTGTGTAACGACATGAGGGTGAGTATTAAATGACAGAATTTAAATTTTTGGGTGAACTATCCCTTTAAAGCAACAGATGACAAAACTGCAGCACAAGCTTATAATAACAGAACATTAGTATGTGTTGTTGTGGATGCTAAAATGTAGTATTGTCATACACTGGCCTGATTCAGCAAGTGACCGTTCTGTCAACTGCCCCAAACACTCGCACACGGGCACTGGGCCATCCTTAATGGTCAGCCCTGGTATTACAGTAATGAGAATCACTATTAGGAATAAACTTAAAAACAACACTCTTGAATCATTACTGTAATGAGAATATGGAGCGATAATGAGCTTCATTGTCCTGAAAGTAATGTCATGAATAGGCTTCATTTGAAGCAAGTTAAAACAAGCTATTACTATTATTATTTTGAGGTAAAATGTGTCCTGGACATGTTTTCAAGAGATTCACGCTGTCAGCCATCACTGCAAGTTGTATAGTTTGTTTTCCTCTGGGTTTTATACTTCTCTTAATTAATTAATAAATGCATCCTTCTTGTTTATCTCTCCGAGCATTCGCTAAACAAAAGCTCTGGGTGCTAATGCAAATGAAAATGCGCAGGTGTGACTGGTTTTCTTGATAGGGGAGACATTATTTCCACAACAAACAAAAAGCCGCTGCTACTTGCTGCTTAATGTTATTAATAAGACGTGTTGCTGAAAAAAATCTGGTGGGGAAATTAAAACTTTAAAATTATCTTTTTAAAATGGAGCGGAAAAGAAGACAAGGCTTTAAAGATAGTTAATAATGGTTTGATCATTTTTATAACCTGGCTGGGGGATATTCTGTAATTAACAGGGGCAGAGAAAATGAAATCAGGTTGTCAGGGTTGCAGAAGTTAATAATTTAAAAGCGCAATTTTCACCGTTCATTCATCTAGAGTGCACATCGCTGGAGGTTATCTGCAGGATTTTTTAAGTGTGGACAAGCTATTGTTTTGACACGCAGCATCAGGGTATTGCTGAGAAAAAAGGGTGTAGACTAAAAACAAACACAAGAGCCAAATACTTCACCCAAGAATGAAAGTTGTAATTTACTCAGCCTCACTTTACTAACACTTGGTGCATCATGTTTGGTTACAAAGACAAGTGAGAACCAATGATCATAGCATTTTTGCATAAAAATAATTGTAAAAATATGTATGTATATGTATATGTCTTCTGTAGAACACAATAGGAGATGTTTTGAAAAAGCTCATGCTGCTCTTTTCCATACAATGAAACTGAATAAGGGGCTTGAGCTGTCAAATCCGGTATACACTTTAGAGATGCACCGATACTGATCCCGATATTGATAGCTGATTATCCAGAATGATATCTGCCAATACCGATAGTTTGATTTTCTTACGGAAAAAAATCTCTGCTAACCAATGCTTTAAAATATACAGGGAACCCTCTCATTTGGTTTATTACTATAATATTAAAGGTTATATATGTCATATATATGTGTTTGCAATGAAATAAAAATATTAGTGCGCTGTTCAGTAAAACTACTTAGTGCATATATTAATTTAACTGCAGCCTGCCTGATCGACATCATACTGCAATATGGATTTTATTTCAACATATCACGCACCTTTAACCCAAATGCAAATGAGATCTGAGATTAGCAGATTTTCAGTTTTGCTCTTTGCCAGTTATTTTTTTTGTCTGTTCCTAAAGCTAAACCAACATTTTACAGAAAAGAGCATAAAGAGCTTGTTGCATCATTTTTGGATCTTGACAAGCAAAGCCCCTCATTCATTGTATGGAAAAGAGCAGCATAAACATTTTTCTAAATATCTTCTTTTGTGTCCCACAGAAGAAAGAGTCATACGAGCTTTTGGGTGAATATTCATGAACCATGAACCATAAAATTGCTCTGGCAAAACCACTTTACTCACATGGCAACAGAGAACCAAGTATTAATTATTATGAAAAACCATTTTAAAACATGGTAATACAGTGCATAAAACCCAAAACTGAATGCAGCAATTGATCCTATGGGCACTGTGGGATGCTCGGTTGCTGTTTTTTATGTTGAAAGCAGCAAAGAGAATAACCATGGAAACAGCCAACGATGCCACCAAGGAGGATATTGGGACAAACTGCCCTCACAGCCCTCAATTACAGCTAAGATTCACAATACAAATCTAGTGTTTATATTGCAATTACCTAAACATACGCTGAGCCCATCTACAAACAAAGGCATTTTACACACATCTGTCTATAACAGCCAGTAAATACCTGCCTGCGCCGGCCGGTGAAAGAAAAACTGCCACTTCCCTGGAAAGGCACAAATATTATATAGCTGACATCGAACAAATCAATATCCTCGAGTCTCAAGCCATCCGCTTCGACTGGGTTTCACCACAACATGTTGCTGTGCCAAATTGCCCTGTTACCACGAGCATTGCCAGACAATAACATTTTCCATCAGACCAAATTGAGGAATCGAAGAGTGAATTTGTGGCCGAGAGCTCTCTGTCGGAGCTGTTTGGATGCATGCCAGGCTCAAATGATCTTTAGTTTTATCAATCTCGGACTCAAAACAAGCCAAACTAGCGCCTGGCCTCCCAGCTTGGGCTTAAAGAGAAACGCAGGACTGATGTTGTTCTCTTGCAGTGCGAGCAATTTTGAAATGAATATCAAAGACGTTAGACAGACAACAGACCAGCTCCTTCCTGACGGAGATATTATGCAACGTGTGAATAATTCCTCAGCCATTTGATGCTTCTTTGATGGCCTTGTTATTCAAGTTATTGGATTTACGGATCATGCGTGCAGTGGCAGGCATCAAAATTTGCGCAATAATATCTCAGAGTTAAAGAATTCAGGGTGTTATTGACAGCAGGCAGATAACTGTGCGATTAAATAACTGAATGATGTGTAAAATATAAAGGTGTTTAAACCTGCAGGTTAGGATCATGCATCAGGCTCAGTCTGTATGAAAGGAAATCAAGTGTACACTACAATCATTTTTGTTTTTGTCTTGTTTTCCAATTAAAGTATCTAAACATCATGCGCACGCACGCACGCACATTGGCAAAGTATGAACCTTGTTTTAAGCAAGAACATCCATGAATTTATGCTTTCAACAAAATTTTTAATCGTTTGTCAGTAATCTAAGAAAATAAACATATTGAATTTTAGATATACATATTTAAATAAACGTAAACACTGAATTTTAGCTATATTTAACTTAAAAACCTTTTACATAAAATTTTAGATATACATATTTAAATATTTAAATAAACGTTAATATTGTATTCTAGATACACATGTAACTTAAAAAAACAGTTTACATTGAAGTTTAGATATACATATCTAAATATTTAAACATAAATATTGAATTCTACACATATTTAACTTAAAAAACGTTTACGTTGAATTTTTGATATACATATCTACAGTACATATTTAACAAAACGTAATTATTGAATTCTAGATATACATACTTAACTTAAAAAAAACATTTAATTTTTGATATATTTAAATGAACATAAATATTGATTTAACTTTAAAAATGTGTACACTGAATTTTAGATATATATATTGAAATATTTAAATATGCATTTATATTGAATTTTGGGAAAATACATTTTCAAATATTATATATGTATGCAAGCACACATTTTTACACACGTACATTTTTAAATATTTAAATAAACACATATTTCATTTTAGATATGAATATTTAACTTTAAATGAAAGTTTTAAACAAATTTGCTTAGAACTTTAATAGTCTTTTAAAGGATGTTTGGATAAAACTTAAGAAATAGATTTTTTGGAGTGTAAGTATAACACATTAAAGGGACGAGGGGTGTGGAGTCAATTTTCTTTGAGCAAACAGGGTTGTTCATCTGCCATCATCTAATCATTTCCTCCGATCACTTTCTCAGACTGTGATGGAGGAGGATTAATTCTCTATGTCTGCTTTTTATCTTGGAGGGACCCCGCTGTGTGCGTCGAGTGTGTGAACATGTGTTTAGTCTGCCTGAGCAACTGTTTTAACCTCTTTCTCTCTCTCACTTTTTATTGTGATCGTCTAGTCATGCATCTGTGACCAGAGCTTGCAAACAACAACTGAATTTCACCTAAAAAGGAGTCAATGATCCTTAATGACTTTTATTTATCGTTTTTTTTTTTTTAAAGCTTAAGTGTATAATTTCTGTTATTGTCAGCGTCAACATACATAACTACAAAAATAATGAGTTTTTCCGTGTCTTTCATTGCTCAGACAAACAGATGGTTTATACTGGTGCCACACTGTTACACTTTTCAGGGAAACTGACCTACATATGGTACCCTTACAACGGTCTCTGCTTATTAAAAAGGAATAGAAGAAAGTATTTTAATAATGAGTTTTTCCGTGTCTTTCATTGCTCAGCCAAACAGATGGTTTATACTGGTGCCACAGTTACACTTTTCAGGGAAACTGACCTACATATGGTACCCTTACAACGGTCTCTGCTTATTAAAAAGGAATAGAAGAAAGTATTTTAGCATGCATTAATCACACATCATTAAACAATTCAAAATGAAGTCAAAACAACCAGCATCATATTGATTTTCCACTATCCACACATGCAGGTGCACGATGTTCAGATAGCAGTTCATTGAATGCATCCTCATAAACACTTGGGCAGATTGCTGTTACTACAAAATAGATAACTGCGAAAACATCACTCTTACAATCTTTCCAAATATTATTGCTTAGTAAACATACATTTTGATACAAGGTTGCCATATTGGAAACGCATGGAACAGTAAACCAGATGTCAACAAGGACTTTCATCAACAGATGGAGTCCATAGTGCAATGAAGCAGAAAAACGGTTCATTTATTAAAAATCGTTAAATGTCATCGGCAGCTTGAGAATTCAGTCAATCCTTGATGCATAACATGAAAACAAATTGAACGTGCATCAAGGTCTCAGGGTAAAATTCATATGGATGTAGAGGAGAAAGTGTGTTTTTAGTTGCTGTGGCCATTATTTATTTATTTTCACTATTCTAATCTATTTTAAATGATGACATTAATTTTTAAAAGGTACAGATATGTCCAGTCTCTCAAGTAATAAGAATAACTGCATGCCTAAAAATAGTAAAATATTTTTTAAATGGCGCAGATGACAGTGTCTTCAAAAGTATTTTATGTGAACATACACATTTACTGAAATAATGTTTGCAAATATCTAAATAAGCATAGTTTACATTAGCATAGAGTATTTCTGATATCATAGTCAATATTAGATAAAAAAATTAAGCATTGTCCAAAGCAAACTGACATTGTATAACAACTTGTTTATGACATTTAGACATAATTAGACATATTTCCACACAACAAATGCTATTTTTCCTCCATGACTATTCAAAGGAAGTCTAAATGTTAGAGCTTGCCAGCAAAATAACAACACAAGCAAAACTGTACCTTAAACTCATCTCCAGCATGTCAAGAGTATTCTTGTGTTCATAAGCGACGAGAGAGAGAATTAAAGAGACAGACAGACAGAGGGAGACAGACAGACAGAAAGAGAGAGAGAGAGACAGCATAAGGAGGAGGAGAGTGAGAGAAGTGCATGTGGGATGAAGGGAAGAGAGAAACAGATGGAGCTCAGGAGAACAGTGAGGGTTCGAGAGACACAGACAGAAGGGAAAATGAATCGAGGGAGGAGGAGGAGGAGGGTGTTACATGGGCGTGTGTGTGAAAGAGAGGCAGGAATGCACACACTACACTAATGGGTCGCTGTCTGTGTGCGTGGACAGAAAGGAGAAAAAGGAATGTGTGTGCACACTTATTAACCGAAAGCAAACAAGTGAACATCATAAACTGTAACCTCATACCGCTGCTGAGAGGGTGCGAGCATCATAACGGGAGACAGAAGAAAAGACGGAGAGCAACAGGTTGATGAGCAGTCTCCCTAGAAACAGCGGGGAACAGCTGTCCTGTGGTTTCGTGTTCACTCGATGCAAACGAGCGACGCAACAAACTACAGCCAACGACACGCCATTAAGAATCAACTAAACTACCTGCGTAGTTTCTCACCTCGCCAATCACGTGTTTACACGATAAACGATGTGTGAATTCGCAACAGCATACTACTCTTATTTCTATCATTTCTTTATCCAACATATTTTACAAGCTATTTCCTGTGAATTTGCGAGACTTCAGATTCTTTAGCTGCTACAGATAAATAAGTGAAAACGGTAAAACCTCTGCGCTGCAAAACCAGTGTGTTTATGAGTATGATAGTAAATTAAAATAATATGATACCAAATATCAGTTTGCAGTTTAAAGCAGCGTTGTACAGGTAAAATAACCTGAAGCGAATGACACCGGAAGTCACGCACATTCAAGTTAGATCAAGTTAGTTGGCCACGCCCGCACTTGATCTTGTTATGCGTTTTGGTCGTTCATTTACACGGCAAATGTGTTTTGGTGGGCTACAAAATGTTTCAAAGTGCAAGTTTTTGTAAATGATATCAGTACCGTCCCAGTGTAAACGACAAAAACGCAAATTTGTGAAAATGTGAGGTCATGTGCATATGCTACTTGTTGTGAGCAGGGCATACTAGTGTTTCTTTACAAACTGACGTCTCCAGATATTGGCCTGGCATGCATAAAACAGTTTTAGTCAATTTAGTGAATACACGTGAATGGGAAAGTTACAAGTGAAACTTTTCAAAAACACAAAGGAAAAACTTTTACGTTCTTAGTAAAATGCTATTTTGTAAAATGTTAACATACCCTAAAAATAAGGTGGACCAGTAAATAACTAGGGGCCAGTTTTACTAACATCTTGCGCCAGCGCAAACCATCTTTTGGCGTTATAATAGTAATAATATAATATAATATAATATAATAGTACTGTCAGGTTTTACTAAAGAAGCTCAGTGAAGAATTAGTGCTGAAAAGGTGTGGACAGTTATTTTTGCGCCTGACCTTATTGAATATGCATTTGTAGGAGTTTCCCTTTCAGACGCAAAATTTATGGGAGGAGAGTATTAAAATGAATCACGCAATGCGGTTTACTAATGTTTGCGCTCGTCAAATTACGTGTATTTGCGCCATTAATAAAGCATGTCTTAAACTATTTTGCGCTAGGAGGAGGCACCGCAGAGAGCGTGTGGTAGAAGGGAGAGGATTTTTTCCACGTCTATTAATTTATTTAGAAAGCAAGAACACATTGTCCAAACATATCGTTTAAAGGGATAGTTCACCCAAAAATGAAAATTGGATGTTTATCTGCTTACCCCCAGGGCATCCAAGATGTAGATGACTTTGTTTCTTCAGTAGAACACAAATTATGATTTTTAAGTCCAGCCGTTGCAGTCTATCAGTCGTATAATGCATGGCAATGGTAACAAAATATACGAGAGTAAAAAAAACATGCACAGACAAACCCTGCGGCTCGTGATGACACATTGATGTCCTAAGACACGAAACGATCAGTTTGTGCCAGAAACCGAACAGTATTTATATAATTTTTTACCTGTAATACACCACTATGTCCAACTGTCTTTGGGCGCACGCACGGCATCCGATGCGTGAGGTGTGTACGCGCTCTGGCGTAGTTTACGCAAGCGCTGGAAGTGATCTCTCGCGCGTATACGTCACTCATTGTTTACACAGTGCACAGTCATTGTAGGTACTTGGACATAGTGGTGTATTAGAGGTAAAAAATGATATAAATACTGTTCGGTTTCTCGCACAAACCGATCGTTTCGTGTCTTAGGACATCAATGTGTCGTCACGAGCCGCAGGGTTTAATTTGGATTTGTCTGTGCATGTTTTTTTTTACTCTCATAGATTTTGTTACCATTGCCATGCATTATACGACTGATAGACTGCAACGGCTGGACTTAAAAATCTTCGTTTGTGTTCTACTAAAGAAACAAAGTCACCTACATCTTGGATGCCCTGGGGGTAAGCAGATAAACATCAAATTTTCATTTTTGGGTGAACTATCACTTTAAGCCATGTTATTTTTAATTTGCTTCAGGAAATAAAAGACGACTTGGAACCCCCAACTAGGAGTCACGTACCAGGTCTATCAAAACTTCTTGCAAACCTTCATTTTTTGGCCTCCGGTTCTTTTCAACGTACTGTGACTTCTTTATTTCTTTATTCTTTATTTGCGAATACGCTAATTTGCGCTGCGCTTGGTATATTGCGTTGGTCGATATGTAAATGAGATGTTGCGCCTGTGTTCTTTCATGTGCGCATTGTTGGTAAATCACCCGCAGAAATTTCCACGCCCATCGGCGCTGTTTTGGAATTGCGATCTCGCGCCAATTTGCTCTGCTTAGTAAAACTGACCCTGTGAATAACAACGTGTATTACAATGTTGTATTATTTTGTTATCCTAAAAAATAAGGTGGATATCACTGAAATAGTTAGTGGCCTATTCAAGCAGATTGCATTTTTTGCATTTAAAAGCGCGAGACAGTAATGGAATTAAAAAAACACAGAAATAGCCTCCTACACCGGCCCTCATTCACATTACTCCTCTTAAAGTCGGCTGAAGTGCTGCGGATCTTCTGGCAAGACATGGGAATTCATTCAGTGCATGGTTCTCTACTGGCTAGCATTCAGTGTACATTGATGCTACGCTCGTTATTGAGGTGCATGATGAGATTGAATAAATCCACTTACATTTTTTTAAGAACTACTTTTAAATTTCAGTGCCACATTTTTAGAACTCTGTGTCAAGTACGGGAGACACAGCAAAAGATGCGAGACGCAAGCGCAACGGTCAAACGTGTCGATCTAGTCTAGTGCATGTTTACATACAGTAGAAAACAATTGAAAAGCAGCAGTGGAATTCAACACATTCTTTGTGATTGGCCTCAAAGAGTAGTATGCTAGTATGCTGTTCTGAATTCAGCAACAGTGTTTGATGAGGCCCTGGTGACTCATCCTGTTTACTATTTATTCACTTATTAAAAAATCTGTTTGGAGATAAACTGATTCAATATTTATCTTTATTTTCCCCATATAAATAAATGGGTAACTATGGTGGGATTGTTTCCCCAATGGTAAACCATGTCAACATTATTTGACAAATTGCAGATTATAACTTTGATTATTATAATTAAAGCCTTCTAATTTGACATTATAAGTGTATGAAACAGCATTATGAATTGGTTAGTTCACATACATTGCATTGCAGTGTTCAAATTGGAGGGGTGTGATGATCCAGTTAAAGGATAATTCACCCAACCTTTGGATACCAGTATTCTTTAAAGTATCTTCTTTTGTGTTCAGCAGAACAAAGTAAGTCATACAGGTTTGGAACAACATGAGGGTGAGTATACATGACAGAATTTTCATTTTTGGGTTTAAGTTGCCGGATAGGCATGAAATTACCATAATGTACAAATAAATCATGTAACTGGTTCATTCAGTGTTAGCTAGCTAGATTGTTTCCTAGTTCTAGTTTGGCATGTCACCACTTGTGCACTTGCGTTATAGTAGTCAGCTTCACCGATTAAAATGGAAGTGTCTTAGCTCTACAGTCAGTAATGGAAACATTCTACTTTATTGCTTCACCACTCACAATCTTGCTGTATAGATCTTTTTTTTTTTTTTTTACAAAGTGTTCTGCTTTGACACGCTGCATTGTGATCAAAATCATTAAATATAATTTAAAGCTTGTAGTCAACTCTGTTAATTATAATGTTAGCATTTTGTCACATCGCTGTTGGTGTAGGTGTGAGATGAAGGACAGAGAGGGTTGTGTGTAAATGTGTGCGTGTGTGTTTTCCAGCTTCATTGTCTATGATATCTATTATTGAGATGGACCCCCCTCGTCAGTAACCGGATACGACTGGACAAACACAGCTAACAGAACATTCCAATTAACTAGCACTGTTGAAAGAGCCGCCGACTTACTCTGTGTGACACTAAACGCAAACAACAGATAATGTAGTACAAATGGAAAAGTAGATGAAAGGAAAGCAGGGCTGTATAAAAGGTATCACATATAACATCACATACAGGTCCACAGTAAAGGAAAGCTCATACCACATTACATTTTTAAGGGGTCTGACAATGGCAGGCAAGGAGAATTTTACCTCAGGTCAAATTAACATCAAACCAGCAGTGATATTTCAACATGTCTGCATTTGCCACAACATGCTGGGTCTGACACATCTAGTGAAAATTGTCTGTGAGATTATTTTCAAGAGAAGCAGCCTGATCCAGAATTATAATTCAATTAATAATTTCTTTCTCTCTGAAATACAGCAAGACAGCTGGATGAACTACACCTCCCATAACAAGAAATCAAGTTGACACAGGAATTGCACGCTCTGTATTTCAAGGATACATGTGAGTTGAAGTTGTTTTGGTGGTTCATAGACACTCCTACACACCAAACCTCCCCAAATCTGCTTTCTGATACTCTCCGGAGGGCAGTGAAAGACCTCCAGTAGGGAGGAAGGGAGGGAGGGTTTGGGGTCTTCTGCTGTTCACTATCATACGCGGGATGAAATGTATTAAAAAAAAAGAGTCCTTGGATTCAAACTATGGGCTCTTTGTTAGATTTTCTCTGTTGTGTGGATAGTTCAGGGACTGATATCCATCTAGTCTACATTCACACCTCAGATGCTGGAAAGTTAATCAACACCAGCTAATGAGTATTCACTTCCTGATCGGCGTTATTGATGTTTTTGCAGTTTTTGGCATGTTTTGTGAAAAACCTGCCAAAAATGTTTATTTAACATAAAAACTAAAAGAATTACATAAGAAATCGCATTTAAAGTCCAAATATAGGATATTTTGCATCACATCTTCTATTTTCATGACCCCATGATTTTCTTTCCTGTTTCATATCGACAGGAAGGAGGGAGGAGCATGCTAAGTC